AAAAAAAAAATATCTTGGGACTTTATATTGGGACTAATTATATCTATGAAGTTCTGGATTCTTATTGGTTACATGTTTCACTCAGACATTTGATTGTGTTAATAATTTGGTTTCTTTGTTTCATGCCTTATTAATAGATTAGTGTAAAACTAATGGTCTTTATTAAGAAATTCTCATGTATTATCCATTGTAGTTAACTCTAAAATAGACAGGTAAAAATATTTTCAAAAAATTAAAATCTCATATTCCTACCATTTTAACACCTTTGTACACATGCATACACACATGGATATGCACGGTTTTTTGTTTGGTTTTTTTAAAATAAAAGTGACACTGTACCCTTACTGTTTTATATATAACCTGATTGTCCTTGTCAATAAATTTTCTATTTTCTATTTCCATTTTAATTTTATTGCATCTCCAAAACCCAAACCATATTTGCATTACCCCATTTGGCCTAATTCATTTTGTTCTAATCAGTATCCAGGTGCAAGAGTGTCCTTACTCTGACACATTCCCTTTATGACATTAATGTTGTGAAGCAACAAAGTCACATATATCGTAAAATGTATCATCTTCTGAACTTGTCTCAGTACTGTTTTATGGAATAATTTAGCTTATTGTCTAGCCTTTGTATTCTTGTAAATTGGAAATTATTTTAATCTTGGGAAAGTCACATTAAACATTTATGGCTGGGCCGGCCCTGTGGCTCACTTGGGAGAGTGCGGTGCTGGTAGCTCCGAGGCCGCGGGTTCGGATCCTATATAGGGATGGCCAGTGCGCTCACTGGCTGAGCGTGGTGCAGACCACACCGTGCCGAGGGTTGCGATCCCCTTACTGGTCAAAAAAACACATTTGTGGCTAAAGTACATACATTTATGAAGTACCAGTAGGTGATTGTGTGTACTCTACCAAAAGACAAATAATATATATTGGATTGTACCATTAACTTTGGCACATGACCACTCAATTAGGATGTCAATCTGATTCCTCCATTGCTCCGTTATATTTTTCCTGTTACAACTGAAAAGAAATCTCTCTTATCTTTTTTTTGGCATAATAGCAACATTCAGTTTTGTTTTATTCTTACAATATGAACAACACTGTTTATACTTATCTTAAGATTAGGAATTGCAAGATGGTTTTTAAAAATTCTGTTATGATTTCTACAGTTTTTTGATGACATGCTCAACTGAGGCTATTTGGTTACTTTGAAATATAATTCTGTTCGAAAGGGCAGGAAAAATATGTGTACCTTCTTGGTGTATGTGTACGGCATCGTCAGTCTTTACATTTAAGTCACATTTTTGTGGGCATCCATCCTGCTTCTGCTAGTTGTCCACAGTATTTATTGACCTAGCATTTAGTTAATAGAGACCCTTTATTTTTCTAGATGGAGTGCTTTTTGCTTTCTGTTATTGTTATTTTCAATGTTATTTTTGAGGTCGGAGAATGTTTATATTTCTTCACCTGTTTTACACATGCCACAATTGAGTCATAGAAAAATGCTCTTTGCCTTTGACTCCTGCTGCTTTCATTCTGCACTGATATTCCTTAGTCTTTTCCTGCATCCGGATTGCCGTCTTCTAGCCTATATCTAATATGTCCTTTTTTTATATAGTTCCAGGCATCTGGAATGCCAGAACTTTCCTCCATACTATAGTTCCCTTATTCTCTTTCTACAAATGGAAAGAATTTCTTAAGATTTTCATTCAAGTTTATATCTGTGAATTTATATCTGTGAATGCATTTTCTGATGAAAAAGCATTAGAATACTTATCTGGGAAAGTACAAGAACGGTTGGCCTTGACAGTAAGGGAAAGGAAGAAAGAAGGTGGGAAAGGATATGAAGCAACACAAATTAAACTGAACTGAAGTAAGTATAATAAATTATTTAGCTCCTATAATATGCCAAGACTTTGTAGTTGAGTGATGAAATCATGGGGGATTGTGTCTGGTCTTGGAGAAGTTTAGGGAAATATAAATAAAAAGAACACCAAATAAGAAAATGAATGACATCCTAACTGAAAACAAGGGAATGAAATGCTAGAATATTAAAAAGAGACATGGACATACTTAGAGTTAGCATATACAATCTTTCTAAAGAGAGAATATCTATTCTGAAACCTAAAGGATGAGAAGGATCCCGCTTACAAAGTCCCTAGGTCCGAAGATTCTTGGAAGATTAAACAGTCTATGAAAAGCATTAGTGATGGGGAAAGTTGTACTATATTTTAGGTGCTGAAAAGGGAGAATGTGATAGAAGACAGGAAGCAAAGAGGTCGTCGTTTTGACATAAGGGCTTATAGGTAAGCCCTGCTGTCTTTGGGAAGGTATTTGGGTTTTATTTTAAGAATAAAGAGAAATCACCAGAGAAACTTAAAAGATGAATTCTTAAATACTGATCTGCATCTAAATTAGTGAGAGAAAGGTTCAAAATAAAGATGCCTAGGTTTTTCTACTCTTAATTGTAATTCAGGTGGTCTCTGAAAATGCCAAGGTATTAGATTTGTAACAAGCTTGTCCAGGTTTCAGATCCACACTTAAATGTTACCTATTTCATTAATCAGTAACTTCACTATCATGCATTAATGCTTATACATCTCTGGACTCTTCTTGGCCTTTTTCAAATCTCATAACCATAATTTAGAATACTATAAGCCATTCACTTATTGTGAGTGTTGCTTCTTATTTCTTTCATAGAAGTTTTATGTTCTCTGGTATAGAAATACAATTTCTTTTCTTCTTTTATTTCAGATTTGGATTTACAGTATGAGATAATCAGCTATGTAGAAATGCCCACATATGAAAAAAACGCATCTTCTACACGAC